TGAGGCGGGGCCAGCTCAGGCTCCCGGGGTCGGTCAGTAGCTGTGGCTGGTTTCAGCTGGGGCACAGTTAATTTTATTCCCAGTTCCTGCTGGGTTTTGGGTTTAGCATAAGAACAACGCTGATAACACGCTGACGGTTTGGTAGCTGCTCAGTCAATGATTAGATGAAGTCAAGGACTTATCAGCTGCTCGTGCCCTGCCAGGGAGAAGGCTGGAGGGGCACAAGGAGCTGAGAGGGGACACAGGCAGGACAGATGACCCAAACTGGCCAAAGGGCTGTTCCAGCCCGCAGAACCTCATGCCTAACCTGGGGCAGTTGGCCAGGAGGGGCTTTGTCCTCCTACAGCAGTGAGGGTGTTTCACAAACCCCAGCTCACAGGCTCTGCCAGTCCCTGTGCCTGAGCAGGAGCTCACTCCTGTAGCCAAATCACAACCTGCTCCCCAATTCCATGGAGAGCCCTCAGAAACCAGCTCCAGCCCAGGAAGGCAGCTGGAAGGCTTTGCTGGACTCGCCTGGAGGCTCCAGGGATGGCTGAAGCAGCTGGAACTGGTGCTGAAATAACGCTCTGGAATTCCACACTGGCACGTCGGGATATCTCAGCCACCGCCAGCCCGGTGCCATGGGCAGCCTGGGGCCCTGGGGGCTGCTGGTGGCTCCCAGGCAGGGACCAGCCAACAGGCACCCGCTACCCTCAGCCTCCTGGGGCACAGCTCACACTCCCTCATCTCCACACACTCCAGAGGCTGCTGGCTTCCATTAGGGGTTATCTGAAATGGGTTGAGCCATAGTAAAGCACAACCTGGAGCATTGTGGTGTTGGATCAGGAAATGGAACAAGATAACCTTCCTGGGATTGAATTTCAAAGAGAAATCAAATGGATCAGCATCATCTCCCTCCCCCAGAAGAGCCTTTTCCTTTTCCTAGGGTGTTTCTCCTGGGGTTTTGAAGGGTACACTTACACTGAAGCTGCACAGAGCGGGTGTAGTTTCAGCAGAAAACACCCTCCCAGAGCTGCTGTTTGTTGTGGGAGGCTCTGCTCGTGGTCAGTAGGCTTGAAGCCCACAACAGGCACCAGTAATTCTGCAAGGGTGGGGGCAGAGCCCTCCCTGCTGTGCACAGACAGGCAGCTCTTCAAAACTGCTCGAGCAGAAGCTTCCTCTGGGATGAAAACTGATCTATCGAGCAGCTGGCTCTGCACCGTGGCAAACAGAGCAGGGAACAGGAGAAGCAGTTGCACCTCTCAGGGCTGCCATAAATCTGGGGGCAGCAGGGGCGGTGCACAGCCCCAGACACATCAGATGACAGCCCTGTGTTCCCCTCAGTGTAAAGCAGCTGAATCTTGTCCTGTTTCCTTCCTTTTACAAACCCCAACAAGCAGCGACACGGCAGCAGCGTGAGGACACACTGGCCTGACGTAAAGAACATCTGATCAAAACAAGATTCTCCTGTTTTTCTTGTGGTGCTTTCTCTGTGAGAGTAGAACCAGCAGAAAGAAGCTGCAACAGCTCATGGAAATGTCATGATAAGGTTGCATTGGGCTACAAAAATATAGACTGTCTTGCTTTTAAACAAAATTAAATTGTTACCAAGTGGAAGAGGATATCCACTCAGCTTCCAGGCCTGCTCCAGCAGGACCTGATTTGATTATTCAGTCAGTCTTAAATGGTGTCCTCATAGATGATGTTTAAGGAATTATTTTCTTGAAAATCATAGAATCGTTAAGGTCAGAAAACACCTCTAAGATCATCAGTTCCAACCATCAACCCAATGCTCCCATGGCCACTAAACCATGTCCCCAAGTGCCACATCTACATGTCGTTTGTAGACCTCCAGGGCTGGGGACTCCAGCACCTCCCTGGGCAGCCTGGGCCAAGGCCTCACCACTCTGCCAGGGAAGAAATTCTTCCTAATATCCAGTGAAAACCTCCCCTGGTGCAGCTTCAGCCCATTGCCTCTCAGCCTGTGCACGGCGTGTAAGTGCTATTTTGGGATGGCTGGTGGTAACAAGGAAATTTTCTCAAGGGATGAAAGTTTTCTGAGAAAGTTTCTGCTCAAAGACAAAAGCATTTGAAATGTGGCATTAGAAGATAAAGAGATGGCTCTGAGGGACAGCTCCCCAGGCTCTGGCATCAGCCTGAAACCACCGTGACTTGGAATTCTGGTAAAGAAAATGATCTTTGCCCCCCTGTATTTACATCTTGCACCATTATGAAAGAGCCCAGAAAAAGCAAAGACAAAGAGCAAATACTGACAACCTTTGAGCCCAGGTTGCCCTCAGGCTGGCCAGCAGCCCGGGTGCTCTCAGCCACCCCCTGCCCAGCACCAGGCCAGGAGCTGGGCTGCAGCCCTGGCTTGGGCTGCTGGGGCTGTGCAGGCTTCCCGTGGAGGGGGGAGGAACTGGGTGTAAGGAGTGAAAAAGGGGAAGAAGAAGGAACGTGAGCACAGGTTTTTTGAAAGCTCCTGAATGCAGAGAACAGGGCCAGAGGAGCCCCAGCAATGCCCCAAGGGGGGAACCCCTCTGCTGGGAGCCCAGCAGGAGAGAGTTGGGCTGGGGCAGCCACAGAGGAGAAGGCTCCAGGGAAATAATTAAAGGGGGATTATAAAAAAAGATGGAAAGAGATGTTTTTACCATTGTCTGAAGTGGAGTTACTCAAAGTTTTAAACTCAAAAAGGAGATTGAGACTAGAGAGAGGGAAGAAATGTTTGACACTGAGGGTGTTGAGCCCCTGTCCCAGGCTGCCCAGAGAGGTGGTCGCTGCCCCATCCCTGGAACCATCCCAGGTGAGGTTGGCCGGGGCTCTGAGCACCCTGCTCTAGCTGCAGATGTCCCTGCTCCCTGCGGGGGGCCTGGACTGGGTGACCTTTAAAGGTCCCTTCCCACCCAAACCAGTCTGGGATTCTGTGATCTTTACTCATCACTCCCCCTCGTGGGAGGACACTCCCAAACCACCTTCTCCCCAGCCATCATTAATAGACGAGTGGACAAGTAACTGCACAGAATAAATCCTCTATATTGATTCAAACTGCTAATTGCATTTAATGAAACTACAATTTGCAAGGGTTTATTGAAGAGTAAACAGAGGGAAAGAAACACATTGCTCTTGTTCCACACTTCTGCTTTAATGGCCTGGAACAGCCAAACTGGGAACCTTACCATAGGAAACGTGTCCACCTTACAGTGGTGCCTTACAGAGGGAAAAACTCCCATTTATGATGTGGAGCAGAGCTGGAGACATTCAACCATTTAAGGCCTCCAGGAAAACTTTATGGGGTTTAATACAAGGGTTCCAAATCCCTGAACTCTCAGCAGATGTTTGCACAGAACTCCAAGGATTTCTCACCACTTAGCCACATACAAGCCCACTGCAGTAACTGCTGCTCCACAGAAGGACTCCTGGAATCTCCCATTTATCCCAAAAAGCCTCAAGAATCAGAAACATGTACCTAGAGGGGGAAAAGCACAAATATTTAGTGAGAAGTGTCCCAGCAAAAATCTACCTTGTTCTAGCCCAGTACCTGTGTTCCAAATTCTTCTTCTGAATTCATTTCAGATTTAATGTGTTTACCCACCACAAAGAAGTTGAATGAAATGTTTCCTTCTCTACCAGAAATCTCAACCTAAGCTTAAAGAAAGAAAAAAGGAGCATTTCTGAACTCAGCAGCATTTCAGTACAAGACTCTGTTTTATTTTTACAGTGCAGTGATTGAAACAAGGTAGAAATATAACTTGCAAAACAGAATTTATATCACAATGTCCATCAGAAGGAAATACAGATGCCTTGTTTTGGTTTTCATCATAAAATATTTCTCTGGACGCCAGAAATTACAAACTCTTAACACTATACCCTTCACTTTAGAGCCTGTATCATCATAATTTAATCATCTATTTTATAAACAATTTCTTTTAAAAAAAAAAAAAAACAACACAAGGAAGATAAAAAGAACTCAAGTATTAAACTCAAGGCCTGGATTATTATTATTTTCCTTTATTTTTTTAAAGAAAGATACTTTAAGAAAGGTATCAAAAGGCCTCCTGTGGGCAGCACAGCTAGTCGGGCTCTGTGACACACTGCTCCACGATCTCCCGCAGGTTGGGGTTCTCCATTGCAGCTGCCACTCTCTCTTTGTCGTTGATCTGCTTGTTGACTGCAAAACACCACACAAAAGAGCCACATCAGGAGCAGATTTTGGTGGTACTGTGCAGATCCTGCAAGAGGAACGTGGCCAACGCGGGGCGTCGGAGGGCACTGAGGAGGTTTCAGCCCCACGCTGAGAAAGCTGCTGTGGTGTCAGCTGACTGGGCAGCTTTCTCTTAGGAGGAAGGTATGGTTGTGCAGCAGCCAGGCCTGAAGGGTGTGTGCTGGCTGAGAAAGCCCTGAACAGGCACCTGCTCCAGCTGCAGGGCCCAGAATAAAAAGGTTGTGCCAGGCACAGCAGAAGGGCGAGGAGACAAGAAGAGCGTGAGGGTGCTCAAGAGCCAACAGTCAAAGGACAGAGCATTAAGAGGAAAATGGGAACAAAGCAACTGAAAGCTCAGTCACAAAAAGAAAAGAATCACCAGAAACCAAATAATTCTGTTACTTTTCCAGTTTAGGAAAAGAACATCAGGTGCTCTAAGGACGTGTCTTAAGTCAAGTGTGAAATTTGTGACAAGGCAGCACTCCAGGTTCTCCAGGCTCCACTTCCAATCACAGCCTCCAAAGAGCTGGTTCCCACCACAGCAGGATAGCTCAGGCCTGAGAACAGAACCCAGGAGCCTGCCTGGGCAGAGGCTGCAAGAGAGACAGCGACTGCCATAGCTCAGAATTTCCATGCCCTGTGTATTTGATTTTGAACATTGACTAAAAAACAAATTTTTGTGTTATGATGGTAAGATCGTGAGATAACCAGTCAGGAAGTTCTTGTTAATCACTCAGAAGCACAGCAGCAGCTTCTTTTGTTATAAATAATACACCTGCAAGAACTGAGGGGGGGTTGTTTGTCTAAAAAACCCAAGCAAGACCACAACTCCATTCCCAGGAGCAGTGCAGGTGGTGGAACAGCCTCCACGTTGTGCCTCAGTTCAAAGCTTCAATGGTGGACTCATTTCTGAGGAGGACAGTAGGGGAGGGGAAGGAGATGACTTCTCCAAAGCACACAAGCACACACGTCCATCAGCTCTACTTACTGTCCTCTTCAGTGGAATGTGTACCCTCAGATATGTAGATTTCCAGCTAGAGGAGAGATCACTCATGTTAGAGGTGTGCATCAACAGCTGGCTACATTCAGTGCTGGCAGAACAAACACTGTACAGCACACACACAGTCCATCTAACTCATCCTCCTAAAAACCTTCACAGATCAAGGCCAAGAGCTCACCCCAGGCTTCACTGCAACACAACCACAAGCCAATCTCCTTGCCCCTTGCAGAGAGGCCCCAGTAATCTGTCTCCAAAGGTGTGGAGCCATTCCTTCACTCCTCCCTTCATTCACTCCTCTAACTGCTCTTGTGGAAAAGGAATTGCAGTTATGCTACTGGAAAGTGTGGAAAATTGGCACTGCATCCTCAACAAGCTCCCTGCAGGCCACAGTTCAGGAACAATTTAAGAGCCAACCGAATGACAAGTGTCACTGTCAGAAGCTAAATGCCCTTGAGGAGAGACCCTTAGGAAGAGATTCCCAGGAAGACACCCCTAGTAAGTTTTGCTCAGTGATGAGAATCACAGATCAGTGATTAAGCAGAGTCAGTAACGATGAATATTTCAGCTCTGTGCTGCTTAGACACATCAAAACATTGCAGGAGGCCAAATTAACTTTCTCCAAGGCTAGAGTATGACTTAGATCCATCGTGGCACTGGGTTTGGAAACACTCTCTTCCACCAGAACCCAAGGGACAGCTGATGAGGGAATCCCTGATCTAGTGTGAGGTGTCCCTGCTCATGGCAGAGGGGTTGGAACTGGGTGATCCTTGTGGTCCCTTCCAGCCCTGACAGATTCTGATCTGTTTTAGCAGAGGACTTTAGAGCCCTAATGGCTCAATGGTTGGACTTGATGATCTTGGAGGTCCCTTCCAACCTAAATGATTCTATGATTCTCTGATTTTAGCACTGGAGCAACGAATGGTCTTTGGCAAAGAAAGAATGACAGTTATTCAGACTCCTTCTGGTGCTACTCTGTCCTGTAACATTCTCAGAGCCTGTCCCTGGTGGCATCTCACAAGTTCCTCCACCCTGCAGCACATTCTCTTTTCAAGCAGAGCTTGGCATTCATACACTCATGTGGCTGAAAGCAAGTTCCAGAACAGGTACTTTACCTTATGTCTAAAAGGCAAACACCTCTGAAGTTTTATTCTTAAGCAAAGGCCTGTGTAAACAAAGCAGACAAGAGATTTCCTTGTAAAATTCAAGGTTTGAGGTGCATTCTCAGAGAATCCACATTTAACAACCAAAAATCACCAGTACAATGGAGAACCTCCTTCCCTTTGTATTCTGAGCAGCACAAGCCATGGAGGAGACCAAATAATTTGTGGCTTGAACCTTTGGATGCAGCTTCTCAGTTAAGCTCATACCTGGCCTTACAAGCTCAGGAGGCCTCTGGGCTCTAAAAACCTCCCAAAACACTAGATACAGACAAATTTCTCCATTTCCAGCTTTCTTCTACACTTCTGATGGAGATTTTCTTTAAGAGCTGACAAAATTTCCACTGAACACTACTACAATAATGTGGAGAGTATGAAGAAGGAATTCTGTCCCAGCAGAGTTTTGAGAGCTCCCCTTTGAAGTCTCCCCAGCTTGACAAAAGCAGATGGATGTGCCCACGCCGTGGGTTTTGTTTGCACTGCTGGGAGGGTTCTGAGGCTGAACCTCCTGGTGAATGCCACTGAACTTTAACCACCACTGAGGTTATGCAGACACGACTCTTACCAATGAGAGTGGCCAGGGAGCAGTGAGGTACTGTGGGTGTAAACCTGATGATAACCAGATACTCCTCCTCTCCTATCTCCTGCACTTCCACACAGCTCTCCGTGACCACTTCCAGCTCTTCCAGAGTGTTGGGCTTCTCTGGGTCCCGGATGGTACGGATTATATCTGAAGCAGAAGACAAGGGACCAGCAATGAAGCAGCTTTCCTGAGTTTAATAACAAGCACTTTGGTTAGAAACCACCTTTGGAGCATTGTTTCTTTTGCTCCTCTTCAGGACAGAGGTGTAAATGTCAGCCTCACGAGATGCTTCTGAGCTGGGCACATGGAGGCACTTCTTGTTCACTGCCCACATGACTGTTCCCACTCCAGTTCTAAACTTGACACTATTTTTACAATATTACAATAAATTGAAATCAAACCCCAGGAATTAAAGGGGGTGTGTTACCTCTAAGGTCCTACAGTAGCAGCCTACCCAGGAGACAGGCACGGGATTTCAGAGAGCTTTGTTTGCCTTGCAGGCTTCCCAAAACCCAACTTACTAACCAGACAAGCCACAATTCCTCATCCCCTTCTCTCCACATCCCAGCCTGGGCTTCACAGGTAAGGTTCTGAAGCCCTCTGAAGGGAAGCCAACAGAAATCTCACACTGCTCCACACCTCTCTGTATCAGTGGGCACTGCCTCAGCTGGGTTTCCCACACCTGCAGAGAAGACCATGCTTCTCTTTCTCAAAAGCTCTGCCTCTAGAGAAGCAACCTGCTCAGGATTAGCTGAAGGAAGTTTCATCACACGAGGAAACAGAACTGCAGCTACTGCTTTGCCATGGAGCAAAAGGTTTTAAAGAAATCCTCAAAAGCTACAATATGTGATCACAGGATGCTGAAAAATAACCCCAAGGGAGCACAAGAATTCTGTGCACTTCCTAAGAGCCTGAAAGCCCCAGATCTCTACCTGTTCCAAGTGAATGCTGGGTTAAACCCCCAGCCCTGAGTGAGGGTGGGCAGATGGGTGATGGCCACAGCCAGGCAGGAAAGCCCCTCCTGGTTGGTTTTCACCCAGGGTGTGGCCAGCCTTGGGTGGGAGCTGATGAGGAGATCCCCACCAGGTTCTAGAATTGGGCTCCTGGCCTGGCTGCTCCCATTGCCCATGGCTTGGCTCCTGCTGTGTCTCACTCCCTTCCTCACATCCCCTGTGGTGGGTGAGTGCAGTGACTTGTTCTCCCTCTGGTTTTCTGGCACTTTGGTCCCTGGTGTGTGATGTGGGAGCAGAGGGAGGAGTTTGGCTGCTGGGCTGCCTGTTAGTGATAACATCAGTCTGTGTTGGGCAAGCAGTCAGCAGAAGACCAAGTTTACCAGGGACAGGCTGAGAGGCAATGGGCTGAAGTTGTGCCAGGGAAGGTGTTGACTGAGTATTCTGAAGAGTTACTTGCCTGGCAGAGTGGTGAGGCCTTGGGCCAGGCTGCCCAGGGAGGTGCTGGAGTCCCCAGCCCTGGAAGATGTCAAAAAATGTATAGATGTGGCCCCCAGGAACATGGTTTAGTGCTCATAGAAGTGTTGGGCTGCTGGTTGGACCTGATGATCTCAGAGGTCATTTCCAGCCTTAATGATTATACAATTTCACTTTTAGTGTAGCCCTGCCCATAGCTCTATCCCACCAGCAAGCTGCATGGCTAAAGCCAGTGTGGCAGCAGCCTCCACGGCAGCAAACTCCTTCAGGACAGACAGATTCTCCAGGTTTCACAGAAAAACTCTCCAGAGCCACCCAGCCCTTCAGAGCTGCTCTCAGCACCTTCCTGCCCAGCCTGGCAGCAGGACCTGGCACTGCCAGTGCTGCTTTGCCTCCAGGAGGGCAGGGAGCAGGCAGCAGTGTCTGTCTGGGCTCCATCTGCCCGAGAAGGCTGTGCCTGAAGTCAGATCTCTGACCTGGCAGCAAGGGGAAGACTTCTGTCTGCATAAGTGTCTGCTCCTGGTGCTCACCTCACCTCCCCAGAGCCCTCACCCTCCTGCCAGGGCCACTCAAGCCAAACAAGAAGTTATTTCACAGAAGTAACACCACATACACGTTTCCTTGTCATTTTTGTCACATTCCTTCCTCTGTTTGTGAGTTTTACCCTCCTCCTACCTGAAAAGGCCCAGGAGGGAACCAGTTACATCACCAAGCAGTGAGAGGAGCAGTGAAGTTTAGCTCAGCAGTGCTCCACGGCTGCCTCTGGCTTCTAAATCTCAACTTTCCACAGGCAGAGGCTTCAGTTCTGCCAGGACCACCCACAAGCACCTCCCCGTGGGTGTGCTGCAGTCAGGAGGACTGCTTCTGTGCTTAAGGTTCATCATCTGAGTTATTCCTTATACCCACTCACATTCTATATGACCCGTATTTAAATGCCCCTCAGGCTTTAAATTTGAGTTGGTTTGATGTTGTTTTCTCTTTTATTCATTCCAGATCAAGCTGTGCACAGTGCTGCAGAAAATCCTCACCCCCCTCTTAACAGCCTACAACAGAACAGTGCCCTGAAGCCTGACTCTGTTCTTGGAATCCTCTAAGATCTGACACGACTCATTTCCAGAGGTGAAGTCCCTCTGTACTTTACAAGAGCCTCAGCCTCTGGGTGACAGAATCCCCATGCCGCTGGCCTG